TAAGTACTTTTTATATATTATCTCATACAGTCCTCATAAAATGTCCTATCAGGTAGGTATTATTACACTCATTTTATGTCATAGGGGCAAAAAAGGGCACAGAGAAATTCCCAAGATCACACAGCTAGTAAGGTAGAGTCAGGATTCCAACCAGAGTCTGTTTCCAGGGCCCATATTTATGAACACATATGTAACTACTCTTACTTATTTTCTGAAATCTTTAAGGTTTGAAATAAAAAGTTAACCATTAAAAAAAGAGAGAGAGAGAATATATTTAGAAGAAAAGACCCTGAGGCAACTTGGGTGGGTAATTTGCATTCATATCATTTAAATTCCTCCTGCGATAAACAGGTCCCTGTTGCCAAGTCAGTGCATGGTTGGGAGCTACTTAATTAAGGTCCTGTGAATAGCTCATAGGATAGAGCTGCAGGGGTAGAGCGTTGAGAAGACTGAGCAGAAGATATTAGAGAAGGGCAGTAGAACTTCTGGACATAGGTCCCTGGTGTTTGATCACCCCTCACAGCTCAGAGCCTTGGCGTGCAGGAGGCGGGGGTGGGAGTGGGTGGGTGGAGGATACGGGCAGGTGGAGAGCACAAACCAGGTGTTTTGGGACTGCCTTCTGTTCACACCAATGCACAAACACGGCTTGGCCGTGACTCCTTTCTCTATTGCTCACTCTCTCCCATTCCTCAAAGACATGATTTTCTATCACTCTTACACTGTACTTTGAATTATTCAGGTAGGTGTGACTAGTTTTGAAAATGACTCATTCTAGAGTCACAGATACAAACGTTGTTCAAATTGCTTTAAAGACATTTGATATATGGTAATCCTAGATAATCAAGAGTGTTTAAATTAGATCATTGTAGTGGTTACGGTGAATTGTCTTGCTCAATATCCATTTTAATGTCTTTCTGGAGCTATATTATCTTTCTGTGTACCAGACTTGGATGACTAGAAAATACCTTTTGGGGCCAGCAGGTGGCATGGTGAAGGTGCTGGTCTTCCATATAGCTGACTGCCCTTCAAGTGCCAGACCTGGTAGCTTGAAAATCATGCTGGGTGCGTGTGTGTGTGTGCACACCCACAATCTCAAGAGGAGAATGGAGAAGGGACTGCAGGAGCCATCTCCCCTAGGTTTGAGTTCTTACTTGCCTTCTCTCTGTTTCTCTCTGACTCTCTCCAATGGGTGCATGTACCTTTTAGAAAAAAAAAAAAAAAAAAAAAGAAACAAACAAGACACTAACAACAAAAAGAAAGTAGTTTTCCCAGAATCCTCTGCACCTAGGGTCTGTGTATTGCAGCTATTAGATCTATCCTGGAGAGATATGGAAGTCAGAAATGAAGCAGAGTCCATCTTCCTGCTACTTCTGTCTATTGTTGATGCTAAGGAAAAGGGAGAGAGGGCATTGCGTTTTCTGCAGTGCAGTAACGTTGCAAGGCCCAGGCATTCGTGTCATAGAAGTTAAGAAGTAGTTACGTGGCAGAAATAATCAGACTCACTGTTCAAATTCATAGTTCTAGTCACCAGCCTGGACTAGGTGGAGGGGTAATGACAACAGTAGCTGCAGTGGTGGGAAATTAGACTTGATCACTCCAGAGGTGGCTTTTTAAGTGTCTGCCTTTCTGACTACCCAGAAGCAGGAGCTCCCCTGGGCCAGGTCAGCAGTCAGGTCTCAGGAAGCATTCTTACAGAGAAACATGGAGCCTTCTCCTGCAGCCCTTCCAGAAAGCTCATTCGCTTGATTCCCCAATTGCATCTCTTTCCATTTCGTGTGGCTTAGAGAAGAATTTTGATTTTCTGAAATGGACAGTGGTATATGATATTCTTATGTCAAATTTTAGCCATCTTCTAAAGACAAGATGAATCCTGTTTCCCAGCCACCCCACTCCCCCATTTTTTAGTTTTTTGCCATAGAGCACATGCACTCACTGGAGAGAAACAGAGAGGGAAAATAAGAAATCACCCTCACAGGGAACGGCCACACTGCAATCCCTTCTCCACCATTCTCTTCTTGGGATTTTGGGCACATGCACACGTGTACCCAGAGTGATTTCAACTCACCAGGTCCAGGACTTGAACCACAGTCGGTCATGTGGGAATCCAGTACCTCAACCGCCATGCCATCAGCTGACCCTGTTTATTTATTTTGTTAGTTTTTTGCTGTAGGGTCTGTATACTCAGCAGAGAGAGAGCAAGAGAGAACCATACACACACACACAGGAATCACCCCCTGAGGTGGATGGCCATGCTGCAATCCCTTCTCTGTTTACCTCTCAGGATTTTGGGCATGCACACACATGCCAAGTTTTTTTTTTTTTTTTCAAGCCACAAGGTCTGGGACTTCAACCACACAGTCAGCCATGTGGGTTCCAGCTCTCTTCACCTCCATGCCACTGGTTGGCCCGGAGTTCATATTTTCTATGAAAGAAAGAGATAAAGGGAGAGAGCACTCCCACCAGAGACTTCACATTGTGATCCACCCCCAGCTTCAGCCAACCTGGATCATGGGCACACACGCATGCCCGGTGTGCACAGGGAGGTCCCAGGAGCAAACGTGAGAACGTCCTATGTGGATCTAGCTGTGCCACCATAGTGCCACTGCCTGGTCCTGAGTGGGATATTTTTAACCTTTTGATATAAATAATCATATCCTGCTCAGACCCCAAACTGGAGCTAACGCTTTCGTGTCCATAAATAGGCACACCCAGTGTCGCAGGCTCAGTGTGCCCTCCTACAGCTGCAGTCAGGAGGCTGCTCTTGGAGCCCATTATGTGGGAGCTCACAAACTCCACTGACTCCACTGTGTCCATCCCTCCCCACTCCCAACAGTACTTGCTGCATCTGTGCTCTGGGGGGGATGAGGATTAACAGAAGTAGAAAGAAGGCACTGTGAGGGGCAGGCAGACAACGTGGTGGTTAGGGCACTGGATTCCCACGTGGTCAACTCACAGTTCGAGTTCCAGACCTGGCAGCTTGCTTTCTCACTTTCCTTCTCTTTGTCTCATCTCTCTGGTGGAGCACATGTACTCTATAGCAAGTTAATAACAGTAATAATAATAATAACATAAATAAAATTTAATAAATGTTAGGGAAAAAAAGAAAGAAGGCATTGCGGTTATAAGAGCAGCCTAATGTTCACTGATTTCCTTCTAGACATATAGATTTGCATTTTCTCACCACTTGAAATCATGAAGTGACCCACCTGGCCTGTGCAATGTGAACAGAAGCGAAGCGGGTCACTTCTGGATGGACATATTCAGACATAGAATGTGGCTTACTCCATTTTTTATTTTTAATGTTGCCTCTGCAATTGTGGAAGCCTGGATTAAGACTGCCACTGCCATCCTAGGTCTCACAGTAACCACCGTGAGCAGAGTGCCTGTCCATCATGAGGCAGATTAGCAGAAGAGAGAAGGCGTTTTCAAGCCAAGTCCCAACAAAGACCCAACAAGCGGAGGAGCTCACAAACTGTTAGGAAGCTGTGGACCCTAGTTTAGAAATGCAAAGAATTGTACATGACCAAATGACTGTTCCAGGATTGAATGCAGTAAGAGATGCTGTCCTGGCGCCCTGCTCCCCGTCTCCTACTGCTGTCTTCCAGTCTAGTTTCTATTCCTGATCATTTTCAGTTTGGTAGCATTAACCACATTTTCTGCATGCCTTAGGGAGGCTACTTTCAAATGAGTTAGTCCATGAGTTAAGAGTAAGATGACATAGGGGCCAGTTGTGGCATGGTGCTTAAGGGTGCTGGACTTTTACATGGCCCACTGCAGTTTGAGTCCCGGACCTGGCAGCTTGTTTTTTCTCTCTCTCTGTCTCTCTCTGATAAAATTAAAAATAAATAGGGACCAGCAGTTAGCGTAATGGCTATGTCACTGGAATCCCACATAGTCGACCGCAGTTCGCGTCCCGGACCCGGTGGCTTAAAACTCACACCGGGCGCGTGTGCGTGCGTGCCCAAGATCCTGAGAGGAGAATGGAGGAGAAGGGATTGCGGCGTGATCATCTCCCCTGGGCGGTGATTTCTCGCTTTCTGTCTCTCTCTGTCTGGCGAGCGCACCCGCGCTGGTGCGGCGGCCACGTCCTAAAACCCAAAAAAAAAAAAAAAAAAAAAGAAAAGAAAAGAAAAGAAAAGAAAAAAAACCTCTCTAAAAAAATAAATTAATTAAAAATAAATAAATAAAGCTAAAAAATTATTTTTAAAAAAGAGTAATATGACATCAAAGAAATTTTATTGTGTGTATGTGAGCATACAACCTGAAACTGAACCCTTACCGTTTCACTAATCAAGAACATGTATAGCAGAGAAAATATATTCCTCTCAACCTTGTACATATTAATTTTAAATTTCTTGTTGAATAATTTCAATATAAGGAACTTCTAAAGCTAATAAACAGAAAAAATAGTTTATGTTAACTAGGCATTCTTGTTTTTAATTTTTACAAGGCACACTGGTTAGGGTGTGTGTTGCAGAGCTTATCTTAAACCCATCTCTCTCAAATGATGAGAAGCTATTTGATTTTGGTCATGTGGATAGTAATGTCTCTGTCTTGACTGACATGCATGGTGTTCCTTCTGGAAAAAGAAATGTAATACACTGTAAAGTTATATGTGATTCGATGTAATAGAAACAAGATTGTGATGATAAAAAAAGAAAAGAAATGAACTGTACAAAATTCAAAAAATGACAAAACAGCAAAAAAAAAATCCATCTCTCTCTCTTGCTCTTTTTTTTTTAGTGTTTATCTGCCTATGTTTATGTAAAATGTATCTCACAGAATCCATTGGTTTTTTTTTTTCCACTCTTCTTCCTTCACCCTGTCATAATTAAAAATTTTATCTTTAGTTCCCGTCATAGTCTTCGTAATAATATTCTGCCCTTTTGGACTCGAAACTACTTTCCGCAAATCATTTTTCATAAGTGCTAAACTTTAACCAGAAGGTCCAGATAAAAGGGGAGACAGTGGCAGGCAGAGCGCAGCTGCTTCTACAGGGTTCCTCCCTGAACTGGGTGACCATGACCTGCTGTGAGGGATGGACGTCCTGCAATGGGTTCGGCCTGCTGGTTCTGCTCCTGTTCGGCATAGTTCTCAACGCGGTGCCTCTGATCGTCAACCTGGTTGAGGAGGACAAATTATTTGAAAGTCCCATCTCTTGTTTCGAGTGGTGGTTCCCAGGAATCGTGGGAGCAGGTGTGATGGTAAGTAATATTTACCTGCCTTGATCTGGAGCAGGGCCTGCCTGGTTCACCAAACTCCTGGTGACAAGGTTTCAGCCTTACAGTCAGCTATGTCTTGGCTTAGAGTACAGTTAGGGGCGGTGGGATGGTATTAATTTCCATTGATCATCAGTGAAAAATGGTAATTTAAAATAAACTATGTAGTACAAGCTATGGTGCTTGGGCAAAAAAATTAATTGATCAAAGTTGGTTGGGTTTTACCTATTACTTTTTGTTTTCTATAGAGGTGCATGTACTCACTAAAAAGAGATAGAGAGAGAAGGGAAAAATAAGAAATTCCCACCAGGGGGGATGGCCATGCCACAGTCCCTTCACCACCAGTCTCCTCAGGATTTGGGGCATGCACTCACACGTGCCTGGCATAATTTTCAAGCTGCTGTGTCCAGGACTCGAACCACACAGTTGGTCATGTGGGATCCAGCACCTTAACCTCTACACCACCTGCTGGCCCACCAGTCAAAGTTTCACATGTTGGGCTGCTGTCTAAGCTTTATAGTTAGGAACCTTTGGAATTAATTCCCTCACCTTTCCTTTGAGTCATTCCAGTCTCTAAGTACAGACAGGGAAATTTTATTGAGTGTATGTGGGGCAGGTGGAGTGGCAGGCTGTTCACGGGAATGGGAAGAAAGGTTCCATGCAGGACGACTTTCCTGGATGGTGGTCACTGTGAGGCTGAATGCGGCCTTGCCTGCACCTGAACTCCTGGGTCTTTGACCTCAAGGACTTTTGGGCTCAGCTCTCATATAGGCTCCAGAACATCACGGAGCTTGTTTACCAGTTCAGTGACTGTTAACAGTCCACCGTGGTTGACATCTGAAGCATGGCCGTGCAGCCCGGAACTCCTGATTGCCCTGCTCAGGGGTGCACTGAGGCACCTGCACAGCTGCCCTGAAGGACTTTCTTGGGGGGGTTCTGGTAGCACCCCACTTGGACAGCAGGATACTGTTTGCAGAGCTGATGGAATATCTCAGCTCCAGTCTGTCTCCAGTATGTTACCATGGGCAAACAACGTATCCATGGATGTGCATGTTGGAGTGGGAAGTTCAGCACCCGGGAGCTTCGTTCTTTGTTATACCACCAGCATGCTACATCAGGGAGTCTAGTTAGGACCAGAGCTTTCTTAGGGGATGTGTGTGTGACAGAGAGAGGAGAGAGAAAAAGGACTGGTATTCTGTGTTCTAGAGATAATAAAACACGGTGGGACCAACAGATGGCATAGCAGTTACATTACTGGACTCCCACATGGCCAACGGCAGTTCGAGTCCCAGACCTGGCAGTTTGAAACTCACGCTGGGCACATGTACATGAATGACCAAGATCCCAGGATAATGGAGGAGAAGGGATTGAGGCATGACCATACCCCCTGGGGGGTGATTTCACACTTTCCCTCTCACTGTCTCTATGTCTCCTATGAGCATACACACCCTAAGCCAAAACAAAACAAAACAAAAACAAAAACAAAAAAACATGACTGTAATTCGCAAAGACATCCAGGACAGTTTCCTACTTAAGTCACTAATTCTTAGTGATGATTAGCTACTGCTGCTGGTCCTACCCCCAACATGGACAAAACCACTCTTGGGTCATCGTGTATTAAATGCTAAGTAAGCATCCTTCATCTGGAATACCGGGCTCAAGGCCCTCAACATCAAGTCGTTCTAGGAAGCACTCCCCAGGCTGACAGCTTCTTGCCCATTACCATCATGACAGTCGAGTCACCCGCTTTAGGTAGAGAGTGTTAAAGGAGGCACTTTTGGAAACTTTGGGGCTATTTCCTCAAACTGCTATCAAAGACTCCTCCAGGCTGCAAGAGAGAAAACAACATTGTTCAGGATGGCTCCACCGCCTAGTGGTTAAGGGAGTCGGATCCCACAGAGCTGACTGCGGTTTGAATCCCCAGCCCTGGCAGCTTAAGAAATACGCTGGGTGCACATGTGGGTGTGCACAAGATCTCAACAGGAGGGAGAAATGGAGGAGAAGGGATTGGGGTTGCAGCATGACCTCTCCACATTAGGGGTGTGCTTTCTCCCTCTCCCTCTGTCTCTCTGTCTCTCTGTCACTCTCTGCTGAGTGCACACACTCTGGCAGTTTTGTGTGTGTGTGGGTTTTTTTTTGACCATAAAAACCACATTGCTCTGGGGTCAGCAGGTGGCGTAGTGGTTAAGGCACTGGATTCCCACATGGCCGAACAGGTTCAAGCCCTGGACTTGGAGGTTTGAAACTGATGCCAATTGCATGTATGCATGCCCAAAATCTTGAGAGGAGAATGGAGGAGAAGAGATTATGGTGTGGCCATCCCCCCCAGGGGTGATTTTTTTGCTGTCTCTCTGTTGAGTGCACAAGTACTATAGCAAAATTCTCTCAGAAAAGAAACCATATTGCTCAACAGTGTGAACAAATCCTTGTGTTTGTTTTCTCTCCATATAGAAGGCCCCTCTTTTCTGAGTGTAAGCCTCCTCTCTACCTGTTTATATCAGAAGCAGGAGCAGTTGGCTGGGCGTAGGAAGACATAGCCTTAACTATGGCTGTCTATGAAGCCCTAAAATGTTCCTGGGTTAAGATAATCAATTTAGGGGCCAGCAGGTGACATGGTGGTTAAGGGCACTGGACTCTGACATCACCGACCATGGTTTGGGTCCCAAACCTGGAGGCTTGCTTTCTCACTTTCCCTCTCCCTCCCTCTTTCTCTCACTCTGTCCCTCTCTGGTCAAATTAAAAATAAATAAGTAAATAAAGCTAAATAAAATAATTTTTAAAAAAGATAATCAATTTAGAATAACTCCTGTAGCTTCAGATATAAATTACCCACAAACACCATAAGAATTTGTTTTTAATTTCTTACTAGTCTTAAAGGAGACTTTGGTGGGGACAGCACCTGCCTACACCTCTTAAATTCTTCTTCTGGGGAGGTGGGGACAGGGGAAGGGAAGAGACAGAGAAAGTCACACAGAACCAAAGGGGCATAAATCCTCCATTCGTTGACCACCAGGTAAGTGCCAACTCCTGGGTTTATACTTTACACTGTTACCTCATCTAATCAATAATCTGGGTAAATATCATTTGTACATTGCAGCCCTGCAAACAGAAGGTGAAAATGTTAACAGGACACATAGTGGGTGTGAAGCCCAGTTCCAGATCTATCTGACTGCAGAGCTGTTTCACTCAGCGTTAGCACCACAGCTCTCAACACCTGTCTCAGGCTGGCAGGGGTGAACGAGACCATCTCTGGCTTAACCCATGAACTGAGTGACCAGGAAACTGAGTCATAGCAAAGTTACATAAATCCGTGAAACAGCTTCAGAGAATCTGAACTTCCTTGTTCCGTAGCTAAATTTACTTTACCACCCTCAATAAATATTAATGAAAAACTATCTCTATTACTCTGGACTATAGAGTGGTGTTAAAGCATCAAAAGACTCTTTGAAAAGTCCAAAATACACTTTATAGATAAGACCTCAGACTCTAGGCTATGCCTACAAATAGGAGACATGCCTGTTTGGCGGCAGAGGGACTCAGAACACGGGTGTTTCCATGATCCTGGACTATACAGAGAATGTGGAGAACATCTTTTTCAAAGGAATTAGGACTCTCCTGTCCATCTACTGATTTAAAAATATCAAACTTTCAATACACTTGTAATTACACAGAAAAGTTAGTAAAAAATCACTGTCTGTGGTAAGCACTTTGGTCATAGGTCTTAAAAATCTTTCCAATATTGCTCTAGCATTTAAACTGGTATTTCTTCAAAAAGAGGAGATTATGCAAGAAGGAGACAATAAGACAAAGAATGAAGTTTATTATTAATTACTACATGAAATACTTTCATTTTATGGTTTTATGGCGTACCCCAGAGATGCCGTTTCATCTGTTGAAATGACTCAGAGTAAAAATCTTATGTTAATTATCTTATCGTGTGTTAAAGGGAAAAAATCAATACAAAAGTTATTTGTTCAAGTATTAGAGACTCAAATCATTTTTTTGAAAGAGATAAAAGACATTTATAAAAATAAAGTTGGGGCCAGCAGATGGCATGGTGGTTAGGTCGCTGAACACCCATATGGCCAATCACTTGTTTGAGCCCCAGCTTAGTGGCTTGAAAATCATACTGGGCACATGTGGGTATGTGTGTGCTCAAGATCCCAGGAAGAGAATAGAGAAGGGATTGTGGTGTGGCCATCCCCCTGGGGGGGGTGATTTCTCACTTTCCCTCTCACTATATCTGTCTCTCTTTGCAGGGAGCACACGTGCCCTATGGCAAAAACCTCTACAGCAAAAAGGAATTAATTGTAAACCTGATCAAATCATGCTAATTTATTGAGTTTATTTCATACAAAATGGTAATTCATTGAAGTCAATTATTAAAATCTTAACAGAGAACAAATTCTAAAAAGTTGAATGTATTACAAAAGATTATGCAAAGGAAGCATTTGCAAAATAGAGTTTTTATATTTATGATGAGCTGTGGCTTTCTATGTGACTCTTTTTTAAAAAAATATTTACTTATTTATTTGTTTGTTTGCTGAAACATTTTTAAAAAATTAATTACTTAATTTACATTCATTCCCTGAGCATCATCACAGCATATAAGATGTGATTTCCCATCCAGAATATACTGCATAGTGGCTTAATCATACATGTTATTGTCAATAATTTTCCATTTCTAGTTTCATATATATATATGCTATTTCTCACCCTCTGCCATTTCCCACCCTCTTCCCACACTATCTCAGGTGTCTACAGTTGTTTTCCATTTCTTCTCCACACACACACATTTTTTTGATTCATGAAATTTCTTAAATACTCTAACTACTTTCAAGAGCAAGTTCAGCTGGTATATGTGAATACATGTCTGACTTTAGACGTGAAACTCTGAGTAGAATGAATATACAATATAGCTGATGCTATATAGCTTACTACAGTAATTAAATAGGTATTTTTAAATACATTTTTTAATTTCAAGAAAAGCAGTTTTAGCTTTAATAAATCAAAGAAATGCTAAGGAACTTTGCTTAAAACTTAAAGCCAGGAAACAGGTTAGGATTTTGGTTCAAATACTAGGTACATGAACCTATCAACAGCTCAAGACAGGACAAAAATACTTAAAACTGGAAAACAAGCCTAGGAGAAAATCAGCAATGTTTTGGTCAAAAGTGATATATTGCTATTTCACCAGTTCAGTCTCATGTACTTAATCTATCTTCTGTTGTGATTCAATCTTCCCAGTTAAATTCTGGGGTATAATATTTGACTCTGAATTTGTCCCTACGATTAAGTTGGCCCTTTTCTTAGTATTTGATCTCTTACTTCTGTGTGTCTGTATTTAATTTTCCTGGAATAGAATTCCTTTGAGAACTTCTTAGAGAGCTGGGCTGGTGTTGGTAAATTCTTTCAGGTTTTGTTTATCCGAGAATGTTCTTGTCCTTTCTTCCCATATGAAGGATAATCTTACTGGGTACAGTATTCTTGGTTGAAAATTGTTTTTCCCTTAACACTGTGAATATATTTTCCTATTCTTTCCTCACTCGTAATGAGAGGTCTGCAGTTAGCTTGATGGGATATCCTCGGTAGGTAATTTGACGTTTCTCTCTTGCCAGTCTTAATATCTTGTCTTTGTGGTTTTGGTCAGTCTGGCTATATTGTGTATCAGAGAAGATCTTCTTGGATTGATTCTATTTGGGGTCATTTGTATTTCTTGGGATTGGATCTTTGAGTGCCTCTCTAGGTTTGGAAAGTTTTCTTGCAGGATTTCATGGAATAGATTATCAATGCCCTTATAAGTCTCTTCACCTTCTGGGATATCAATTATCTGGATGTTTGGACGTTTGATGATATCTAGTATTTCTTGTATATTATTCTCACTTTTGGGGGCAATTTTCTCAAACTTCGTGGTAGATTTTTCTAGGCCAGTGAGTCTATCTTCTACATCAATTTTCTGTATGATCTAGTCTGCTTTTAATATTTTCAAGGGAGATTTTGAATTCTGCCTTCATCGCTAACAGGTCAATTTGATTCATTTTTTATAGTGTGTATTTCCTCTTTCAGATCTTCCAAGAATTTCCTCACCTCCTGGAACTCATCAGCTCCTTTCTCCTACCTCTTCTGCAGTTCATTGTCTCCTTTCTCTTCCATCTCTGTTAGTTTTGTCACTACAAATATTCTAAATTCTTTATCACATTTCCAAGAGTTTCATTGTACTGTTTGAGGCTGAAGAGGAGTTATTCTTTTCCCTTGGAGGAAAGGCATTTTCTTGCTTTCCCATATTTCTTGTGACCCTGCAGTGATTTCGAGTCATCTGCTAGAAAGTGCAGTTCTTTCTAAATCTTGAAGTTCAATCTGAGCATTCAGAGGTGTGCAGAAGAAGATGATCTGCAATCTCCAGTTCTGTTTTCACTCTGTGCATCAGATTCAGTGGGGATAGAGGAATATTCTGACCCTAATCATATTCAGATGTTTGGATCCTCTTCACTTGGACCTGTCTAGACACCTAGTGAGTAGAGGCAACTAGAAGTGACTCTGGAGGGGGCAATCTTAGCAGAAAATCTTCATTTTGGGTCAAGGAAAACACTATTTCACAGCTCAAGTTCAGCATCCATCTCAGGATCTCTACGTGACTCATGTTCAAGTGCTTAGAGGACTCCCCAAAGCCTGAGTTCTAGCACAGAGTTTTTAATGACCTGAAATTCTCTGTGCTTCATTTGTAAGATTGTGTACTTCTGAAACCAAATAAAAGTAAATAGGGAAAAATGAACCATACTACTTATTTCCTTTGTAAAAACGAAACAAGCAGGACTTCTAATTTTGCAGATGCTCTTAGGCAGCCAAGGATGCCTGGCGGTGGTAGAGGGTTAAGATGTAACGCTCGGTGAGCCTGACCAGGTGGGAAGGTTCTGAGTTCATGTCCAGAGATGCCCCTGAGCACACCAAGCATGTAGTGCCTATGATTGGACTGACTGAAGCTGGGGCTGGGTCATGGTGTCAAGACTGTGCTGGGAATGCTCCTTCCTTCTCTTGCTCATGGAAGAAATACAGAGGCTTACAAAAATTGCACATTCAAATAGCCTTAGGAATTCAAGAAAAAGAGTATTCTCATAATTATTCATTTTAGTAGGAAATTATCTGGGAGGTTTTTAATTCAGCCACATGCTCTCTATCACTTTCTCTCACACACATTTTCAACATATATTTTTGTTTGTTTGTTTTGCTAGAGGGCACGTGTACTAACCTAAGGAAGAGAGAGAGGGCAAGTGAGAAACCGCCCACCAAGGGGGATAGTCATGCCACTAATCCCTTCCCCTCCATTCTCTTCTTGGGATTCTGGGCAGGCACACACAAGCACCCATGTATTTTTCAAGCCCAGGTCTGGGACACGGACTGCACCAGCTGCCTTGACCTCCGTGTGAACTGCTGCCTCACACTTGCACATTTTGACGTCTACCCATTCCATAAGAGACCCTCTAATTTTTGAAGTTCTAAATGGGCAAAATGGTTGAAATCCAATGAGCTATCACCTTTAATGGCATAAAGACAGATGTTGGGGACCTTGGGAGAAGAAAGTTAGCTAACTTAGGAGTGCAGAGACAGAATTGTTTGTTCCCAACTGTCACATGAACTAAACCATCAGTTTCTTTCCTGGAGGCTCGCCAGGCTAATTCATACAATTTATGTAATTCATTAATGACAAAACAAAGATGTGTTAACGTGCCATGAGGTCAGGTGGGTGAGGATTTACACACTGCAAGTTACTGTTGCCTTATAAAACTCCTTTGCAGGGAACCATGAAAGCTAAGATTTAGCAGCTCCAAAGAGCTGGATATGATCTTGGAAAACAAGAGCAGGAGAGAGAACTACTGGAGGGCAGCTGTGCTGAGAAGGCAGAATTACCTTAGAGTTGACATTTCTTAAGAGGAAGGAAGTAATTTGCATTCCACCCTTAAATAATACAAAACTTCTTCTAGTGAGAATTTCAAGTCAGAGCTGCTGACTAGATATCACTAGAAAGTTCTGAGAACATGGTGTCCTTTCTTACAGCTTTCTTTGGCAATCGACAGTTTCCCTGAACGAAGGATGCAATGCATATGATTTCCGGACATCGGCGTCAAGGGAGATCATTACATATCACTGGTACAAGAGCAGAAAGGAGAATGTAGACCCAAAAGTAATTCTCAAATAGAAGTTTGGAGAAATAAAGGAGAGGGAGGTGGCCTTGAAAGAAGAAAGCTAGCCAACTTGGGGGTGTAGAGACGGAATTATTTGTTCCGAACTGCCACATAAGCCATCAGTTACTTTTCTGGAGGCTTGCCAGACAAATTCCTGCAATTTATGGGGAATTGGCTGCAGATTGTAATAACTAAAGAAAATAATAATTTAACTTTGGATGATGCGACTAAGTCTTATTTATTTATTTATTTAGGTTAAGTTTTGCTATGGGGCACATGTGCTCACCAGACATAAAAAGAGAGAGAGAGTGAGAAAGCACCCCAAGGGATGTGGAATCCATTCTCCTCCCAGGAATTTGGGCAGGCATGCACGCATAGCTAGCAGGATTCTGAAGCCACAGAATCAGGACTTGAACTGGCTCCCTGAGGGAGACAGCCACCTTAGTCACCATGCCACTGGCTGGCCTGGAACCAATCCCTTAGGAAACATGCTCTCAAAAACAATGCACAAATGAATCCTCCTGATCTAGTTAAAAATCCAAGTCTCTCTGCAGATACTCAGAGTAAACTAAACTGAAGACTTTAAAACTGCTATCCTGAATCCCCCCACCACCCTTTTAATCTTTATGATGCAGCTTGGGATCCCAGGTTTGAAAGACCAGGGAAAGTGCCAAATTTCTATTTTGTTCTCTAGAGTCTTGATTTCCCACAACTGGTGGTAAATGGAAGGCAGTGATTATTGCTTTTCCATCTAAGGAGAAGTAATAATACTCATCTTTCCTGTTGATGTAATTTCCAGGTCATTCCAGCAACAACAATGTCCTTGGCAGCAAGAAAAAGAGGGTGTTGCAACAACAAGACTGGGGTGAGTATGCAGCCCAAGTGCTTAAGCAGTTATTGACAATTCAGCCAGACCAGGCTGAGTCATCAGCTTCTGCTGAATCACAACAGAGCTTCTCCAGCAGGGTCTCTGCCTTCCTTAGAAATGTGGATGGCTTTATGACAGGTCTTTTCGTTCTCCATAAAAAATGTATAGATAATAATAATGATAAAGAAAAAAACTGAGCTTTGCAGCAAGCCTTCTGTTCTTTTTTCAGCCTTTTAGTTCGCCAATCTGAAGGTTTTCAGAGAGATTTGTAAGTCACATCCAGACTGTAATCAGTTTTATAATAATCAAATAATTAAGGGTTTCATGGTAGGTATATAACACTGAAGAAAAACATATTTTTATTTCTCTTGTGCATATGATAAATTGGTTTGCTAGGATCAGAATGGTAACTGTCTTTATCCAGTTAAAGGAGATGCCAGTTACTTATTTAATTTTTTAAGAGGTTTTTGCCATAGGGTATGTGTACTCCAGAGACAAGAGAGAGACAGAGATAGAAAGCTAGAAATCACCCCCCAGGGCAGAAGGTCATGCCATGATCCCTTCTACATTTTCTTTTCGTTATCTTGGGCATGCACGCACACACACCTGGCGTGAGTTTAAGCCACCAGGTCTGGGACTTGAGAGTCCAGCGACATAGACCTTACGCCAACTGCTGGTCGCAATGCCAGTTAATATTTTAAAAAGTAAAAACTGGGTCAGCAGGTGGTGTGGTAGTTAAAGTGCCAGATTCCCACATAGCTGACCATGGTTCAAGTGCTAGTCCCAGCACCTTGAAAATCACACCAGGCACATGTGTATGCATGACCAAAATCCCAAGAGGAGAATGGAAGAGAAGGGATTCCAGTGTGACCAACCCCTCAGGGGGTGAGTTCTCACTTTCCCTCTCTCTGTGTGTCTCTCTCTCTAGTGAGTGCCTGAACCCTGTGGCAAAAACCTTAAAAAAAAAAAAAAGTAAAAATTTACATACTATGTATAAAGTTTTAATTAAGTGAAATATTGCTGAATCCTTGAACTCAGAAACATCCAAACAGTTATACAGATTTTCCTGTAAAATTATATTTTCATTAAGAACTTTCATTTTTACCCACACATGTCCTTTCATGGAAAATTAATCATCTTTTCAATAATTACTTAAGTTTTCTCTCTTTGAGGACACAGTGAGGCAAGAATAACCAAGCCACTTTTCATGCAATGTTGATTTTTTTTTAAAGAATTATGTATTTATTTTAATTTGACCAGAGAGGTACAGAGCAAGAGAATTAGCGAGAGAAAGTGAGAAAGCAAGCTACCAAGTCCAAGTCTCGAACTGCAGTCAGTCATGTGGGAGTTTAGCGCCCTTACCACCATGCCACCTGCCAGCCCCCATGCAGTGTTGATTCTCATTCATGAGGAGATTTTGCTCTACCACATCAACCTTGAAAAGAATTCCAAGTCATAATTATAGATTACACGTGGAGGAGCTACAGGAATCCCTGAAGTGCCAAAGAAGATGCAGTAAAACACTGTACCTGCCCTGTTAATAAGTGGTGCTCATTATTTAACTGAAAGTTTAAATATCATAAACGTTCTTAGCAACTTTTCTCACTTGTTGGGAGCCATGTGGGGACTAATGTTTAAGTCATACTTGACCTGGTATCTTCTAAGGCTAGCTAATTAGAACAAAGCTTTATAACAGGACAAAGGCTAGATGTTGGGAGAGGAGTCAACAAGACCTGTTCTTCTCTTTTAAATTTGTTATAGGGTGTGTGCACTTGCTGGAGAGAGACAAGGGGAATGACCATGCTGTAATCCCTTCTCCATTTTTCTCTTTGGATTTTTTGGGCATGCACGCCCCTGTACCCAGCATGCTTTTCAAGCCACCAGGTCTGGGACTCCAACTGTACAGTCAGCCATGTGGTAACAAGTTGCCTTAACCACCATGCCACTAGGCTAGCCCCATCCCCTATTTTTAACTGGTCACACTTACTTTTTTTTTTTTTAAACTGTTCCTGGCTTCTACTCCTTTTCCACTTCTTGATTTTTAATTCTGAATACAAGGTGAATTTGCTGAATTATTTAAATGAGTCCCCACTCTAAGGGAAATACATGCTCGAAATCACTTTTTGAAGACCGGTTCCTTTGCAGTGATAAGAAATCACAAACACTTGGTGAGCAGATAATTAGTGGCGCTTCTTGATGAGTAAATTGAAGAAATCTGCACAGGTCACAGTAGAGTGGGTGAATCAGGATTTGAATTAGACTCTAAATCCATCATTCTGTATATTCAGCTGGGAAAAGCGTAGTGCAGTGATTAGAACCTGAGCACCAGCATTCTCCAGCTGTGAGATCCTGACATGCTTGCCAACCTCCCTGACCTGCAGTGTCCGCGTCCATAAAACAGGGACAACAGAGTCAGTGAGTGGCACGGTGGTTATGGCACTGGACTCCTACATGGATGACTGTAGTTCAGATTCCAGGCACTGCAGCTTGAAAATCATGCAGGGCATGTGTGCATGTGTACCCAAAATCTCTGGTGGAGAAGGGATTGCAGCATGGCCATCCCCCTGGGAGGTGACTTCTTACTTTCACTGTCTCTCTCTCCAGCAAGCACATATGACCCATGGCTAAAACCTTTTAAAAAGGGGGGAGGATATTATTTATCTCTTGGGATTACTGTAAGAGTTAAATTAATAACACATGCAAAGTCCAATGTCCCTCAACCTAACTATATAAGCAGTCACTTTATTCTGCCTATTCATTGAATGTAGGTTTGAACAGCACAAGACAACATTCTCTAGGAGTTGCAATATTGTGCCATAAAAGAGAAAGTATTTCCTCCTTTTATTTTTGTTGACTTCAAAATAATCGTAATTACCATTAGCTAATGCTACGGCTTGAATATTTGTCCTCACCAAAACGTGTGTTGAAATCTAATTGCCACCGTCACAGCGTTAGGCTATGACAATGAAGTTCTCATGCACGGGTTACTGCCGTTGCTGTGGGAGTGGGTTAGGTATTACCAGAGTCGGCCCCCTTCCCTGTGGCTCTTCCTGCACTCCTGTGCCCTTCTACCTTCTGCCATGGCACGATCCCCACGGCCCTCATCACATGCAAGCACCATGACACTGGACTTTCCAACCTCCAGAGCGGAACAACAAATGCCTTTTCTTTATAACCTACTCAGGTGCATTCTGTTACAGCAACACAAAATGGACTAAGGCAATTAACAATTTCCCCGAAGCAACACAGAACTAATTTTTGGAAAAAACACATGCACATTAACTTTCATCCCATGCTTTTTTCTGCTTTTGTGACTTTGACTCAGGAAACAAAAGATGCATACAACCCTTTTTCCTACCAGTATTCTTGACGGAGGTGACTGTAGCTCCTACCCCCACTAAGAGGGATAGTTGTCTGGTGACATCTGTGGTTGTCACAGCTGGGGAAGGGTTGGGGGAAGAAAGAGCAATACTGGCACCTAGTGGGCAGAGACCAGGATGCTGCTAAACATTCTACACAGCACAGAAAAGGCCTCGGCAGTAAAAATGCGCAGGTGTCAATAATGCTGGGTAGGCCTGCTCCAGCTCCATGTTGATCACTGCAGGATGCTGGTCACTGGCCACATAAGCACTAGGGCCAAACTCAGATTAAAGGTTTGTGAGCCAAGAGAGCAGACATCAAAATGTGAGTGGTTAAGACCTAAACAAGGTTCTATGAAGCAGGATGTACAGAAAATATGGAGGAGAAACCAGATCTCAGAGATCAGATGAAACGAAGAAGGCTCAGGAATACTGAAATTTTTTTTTTCTTTTTTGGAGAGGTTTTCGCTACAGGGCGCATGCGCTCGCCAGAAAGACAGAGACAGAGAGACAGAAAGCGAGAAATCACCCCCGAGGGGGGATAGCCACGCCACAACCCCTTCTCCTCCAGGGATCCTGGGCACGCACGCACACGCATCCAGCGTGAGTTTAAGCCGCTGCGTCCAGGACTTGAACTGCGGTCGACTACATGGGAGTCCAGTGACATAGCCATTACGCTAACTGCTGGTCCCAGGAATACTGAAATTGTTCAGAGACAGGGCAAGCCCAATTATCTGTTAGTGACTGCAATCAAATGGCAGAAACTGGGGCCAGCAGGTGGCGTGGTGGTGAAGGCACTGGACTCCCACGTTTCAGTGGGATCACCACAGTGTGAGTCCTCGGCCTGGTGGCTTGCTTTCTCACTTTCTCTCTCCTTCTGTCTCTCTCTCTGGTGAGTGCATATACCCTACAGCAAATTAAAAATAATAGGAACAATAAATAAAATTAAATATTTTTTTTAAATGGCAGTCTTTGCTGTTTTCTTTCTTAATTCATGGATGAAATTGTGATCCGAAGAGCCAGGACTACAGGGCGACTAGAGAAGGGCGGCAGTTGGTTCTGAGGACGGCTTATGCTCTGACAGTGGAAACAGACCATGGACATGCAGTAACTTGAGCAAATGGCTCTGCTTTACGTTTCAGATGTTTCTTTCATCCCTTCTCAATGTGATCACAATCATTGGTGCCGTGTACTGCATGTTGGTGTCCATCCAGGCTCTCGCAAAAGGTCCTCTCATTTGTAACACTCCAGGCAATACTAATTGTGAATTTTCACTGAAAAACTTAAGGTAAGTAAGCTGGGGCCTACTGTCATCAGCTGCAGCTTATTAGAACAGGACCGAGCAGGGCTGAAATGATGCGTTCTCTTGGAAGCTACTACTGGGACAGCCTTTCAGGGATCTAGCGTGTTAACTGCAGCTGAAAGCCTCACACAGAAATGGAGGAAGCACTACGTTCAGAATGATTTGGCCATGGTCTTGCCTAAAAGGACTAGTTGACCTCAGATGGCTTATGGTTGTTTTTGTTTGTTTGTCTGTTTGTTTGTTTTTTAAAGAGAGATTTTTGCTATAGGGCACATACACTCACCAGAGAGACCAAGAAACAGAAAGTGAGAAATCACCCCTCGGGGGAATGCCCATGCCACAATCCCTTCCCTTCACCCTCCTCTTGTGACCTTGGGCATGCACATACATGTGCCTGGCATGAGTTTCATGGTGGGTCCTGGACTCGAACTGCGGTCGACACTATGTGGCAGTCTAGTGACGTAACCATTATGCCATCTGCTGGTCTCTTAAAAATAAATCCATTGTCACAACAGTGTATGTGTAAGTGTAATAAAAACTTCTAGAAATACACACTAGAAACTTAACTTTCATTTTTGGAGAAGAGTAATGCGGTATACCTGGGGAGTAAAAGGAACTTTTAGTTTTTGAACTTCTGAACTAACTGAATTAATAAACCATGAGCATCTATTACCTTTATAACGTAATTAAAAAAATAAAATAAAATGTAGAACCTTGCTTGTGGGTCCTGAAAGAAACAACACAGCCACCTGTGTATTTGCAAGAATATCTTGCAACTATTCTATACATATGCTATAAGAATAGGAACGACTCACAAAAAAAAATTTTTTTTTGAGAGGTTTTCGCTACAGGGCGCGTGCGCTTGCCAGACAGACAGAGAGAGACAGAGAGACAGAAAGCGAGAAATCACCCCCGAGGGGGGATAGCCACGCCACAATCCCTTCTCCTCCAGGGATCCTGGGCACGCACGCACACGCATCCAGCGTGAGTTTAAGCCGCTGCGTCCAGGACTTGAACTGCGGTCGACTACATGGGAGTCCAGTGACATAGCCATTACGCTAACTGCTGGTCCCAGGAATACTGAAATTGTTCAGAGACAGGGCAAGCCCAATTATCTGTTAGTGACTGCAATCAAATGGCAGAAACTGGGGCCAGCAGGTGGCGTGGTGGTGAAGGCACTGGACTCCCACGTTTCAGTGGGATCACCACAGTGTGAGTCCTCGGCCTGGTGGCTTGCTTTCTCACTTTCTCTCTCCTTCTGTCTCTCTCTCTGGTGAGTGCATATACCCTACAGCAAATTAAAAATAATAGGAACAATAAATAAAATTAAATATTTTTTTTAAATGGCAGTCTTTGCTGTTTTCTTTCTTAATTCATGGATGAAATTGTGATCCGAAGAGCCAGGACTACAGGGCGACTAGAGAAGGGCGGCAGTTGGTTCTGAGGACGGCTTATGCTCTGACAGTGGAAACAGACCATGGACATGCAGTAACTTGAGCAAATGGCTCTGCTTTACGTTTCAGATGTTTCTTTCATCCCTTCTCAATGTGATCACAATCATTGGTGCCGTGTACTGCATGTTGGTGTCCATCCAGGCTCTCGCAAAAGGTCCTCTCATTTGTAACACTCCAGGCAATACTAATTGTGAATTTTCACTGAAAAACTTAAGGTAAGTAAGCTGGGGCCTACTGTCATCAGCTGCAGCTTATTAGAACAGGACCGAGCAGGGCTGAAATGATGCGTTCTCTTGGAAGCTACTACTGGGACAGCCTTTCAGGGATCTAGCGTGTTAACTGCAGCTGAAAGCCTCACACAGAAATGGAGGAAGCACTACGTTCAGAATGATTTGGCCATGGTCTTGCCTAAAAGGACTAGTTGACCTCAGATGGCTTATGGTTGTTTTTGTTTGTTTGTCTGTTTGTTTGTTTTTTAAAGAGAGATTTTTGCTATAGGGCACATACACTCACCAGAGAGACCAAGAAACAGAAAGTGAGAAATCACCCCTCGGGGGAATGCCCATGCCACAATCCCTTCCCTTCACCCTCCTCTTGTGACCTTGGGCATGCACATACATGTGCCTGGCATGAGTTTCATGGTGGGTCCTGGACTCGAACTGCGGTCGACACTATGTGGCAGTCTAGTGACGTAACCATTATGCCATCTGCTGGTCTCTTAAAAATAAATCCATTGTCACAACAGTGTATGTGTAAGTGTAATAAAAACTTCTAGAAATACACACTAGAAACTTAACTTTCATTTTTGGAGAAGAGTAATGCGGTATACCTGGGGAGTAAAAGGAACTTTTAGTTTTTGAACTTCTGAACTAACTGAATTAATAAACCATGAGCATCTATTACCTTTATAACGTAATTAAAAAAATAAAATAAAATGTAGAACCTTGCTTGTGGGTCCTGAAAGAAACAACACAGCCACCTGTGTATTTGCAAGAATATCTTGCAACTATTCTATACATATGCTATAAGAATAGGAACGACTCACAAAAAAAAATTTTTTTTTGAGAGGTTTTCGCTACAGGGCGCGTGCGCTTGCCAGACAGACAGAGAGAGACAGAGAGACAGAAAGCGAGAAATCACCCCCCAGGGGGGAATGGCCACGCCGCAATCCCTTCTCCTCCATTCTCCTCTCGGGATCTTGGGCATGCATCACACGTGCCCAGAGTGAGTTTTAAGCCCCGGGTTGGGGACACGAACTGTGGTCGACTACATGGGAGTCCAGCAACATAGCCATTACGCTAACTGCTGGTCCCACGACTCACAAATTTAAGCCTTGTAAAAACAATATTAAGTTACATGTAAATGGCTCCTTTCAGACTTTTAAGATGGTTCTGGCCAGTCCCATAGCCTAGAGGTTAAGGCAGACTGATCCCACACAGCCAAGTACAGTTCAAATCCTGGCCCAGCAGCTTAAAAACGTGTTGGTGTGGTGGTTAAGGCACTGGACTCCCACATGGCCAATTGCGATTGGAGTCCCAGACCTGGAGGCTTGCTTTCCTACTTTCCCTCTCTCTCTCTCTCTGTCTCTCTCTGGTCAAATTAAACAAATGATGATGATGATGATGATAAATAAAATAATTCTTTTAAAAAAAAAAGAAGCATGGTGGGCATGTATGTGTGCCCCAAATCCCGACAGGATAGAGAAATGGAGAAGGGACTGCAGCAACCATGCCCACTGGGGCACACGCACGCACCCCCCGCAACCATGCCCACTGGGGCACACGCACGCACCCCCGGCAAACATTCCCACTGGGGCACACGCACGCACCCCCCGCACCCATGCCCACTGGGGCACACGCACGCACCCCCGGCACACCTTCATCCACAAAGAAAATATATCAATATGACAGTCCTGAAAACAGGAATAGGGCTAGCCAGGTAGCACAACTGTTAAGGGAGTGGGATCCCACACAGCCAACTATGGGTCAATTTTCCATGCTAGCAGCTTGAAAAAATACATAGCACATGTAAGTGCATTGTGCCCCAAATCCCGACAGGATAGAGAAATGGAGAAGGGACCCCAGCAACCATGCCCACTGGGGCACACGCACGCACCCCCGGCAACCATGCCCACTGGGGCACACGCACGCACCCCCTGGAAACCATGCCACTGGGGCACACGCACGCACCCCCCTGGCACTTTCAAAAAGATGGCTTCTGTCTGACTACAGGTACAATTTGTAAAACTGGAAGAAAAGAACAATATAATTCTATTAGCTGTCTACATAGTCTGTTCAGTTTGGAAAGTAACTAGAATTTACTTTTGTAGTAACATGAAAAAAATTGTTTCTTCTTTTCCCTTGCCTTCCTACATGAGAAAAGAAAAATTGAAATTTGCATAGCAGTTGCTGTGAGTCAAACACTTATTAACAAATTCCGCTAATAGATTTGCAGTAGATGATTAGAGATTTCAATGACAGATGCTATACGGGACACTTCAGAAAGTTCATGAAAAGGGGAGAGATACTGGCACAGTAACAAAAAGTGACATTCTGTGACCACAGTTTGAGTCCCAGACATGGCTTAAAACTCACAGCAGGTGCATGTATATGCATGCCCAAAATCCCAAGAAGAGAATGGAGAAGGGATTACAGCATGCCATCCCCTCTGGGGGGTGATTTCTTACTCTATCAGAGACGGGATTGCAGTGTGTCTATCCCCCCAGGGAGTGATTTCTCACGTTCTGTCTAACTCTCTGGAGAGCGCATGTGCTCTATAGCAAAAACCACTATTAAAAAAAAAACAAAACGACGACACTCAGTGAGGCTGACCCACATGGGCAAGTTCTGGGTGCACATACGAAGATTCCCCTGAGTATGCCAGGCACATGCATGCCCATAACATGGGTTGACTGAGGCTGGGGGTGGATTGTAGACAAGACCCTCTTGGGGGTGCTATCTTTCTCATTTAAGAAATGAATGAGTGAATGAGTGTATCCTCTAAACATTTTAAAATTCACCCAGCGTTTTCTCACATCATTATGCATTTTCCATGAACTCTCTGAAGACCCCTTATACACAGTCGGTCTTCAGGGAATGACAACCATCCACCATGTACTGGGCAGATCCTAGCACTCAGGTATTCGCAGTCTGGGTGGGGAGGCAGACTAGGCTAGTAAACAGCCACAACAGACTGATGTTACGCTCACTGCACGTCACAAAGCTGACTCATCCCACGTTCTACAAATAGGCTGCCTTTTCCCAGGTGCAGTGTCAGTTGCTGGTATCCAGTAATGTAAACTCCCTAAGAACAGTCCCTCTTACTCTAAGTAAACTAAAGAAAAATCATCTTGGGGCCAGTAGGTGGCATGGTGGTTAAGGTGCTGGACTCCCACGTGGCTGACCGCAGTTCGAGTCCAGAACCTGGGAGCTTGAAAATGATGCTGGGTGTATGTGCACGCACACCCAAAATTCGGAAAGGAAAATGGAGTAGAAGGGAAGGTAGCATGGCCATTCCTGCAGTGTGTGTGGGGTAACTTCTCCTTTTCCATCTCTGTCTCTCTCCAGCAAGCACTCATGCCCTACGGCAAATACCTTAGGGGAAAAATCATTTTTAGCTTAAGTGTTAAGTTTCTCATTTTCCATAGCCCCACTAGAACGGGCACACAGTACTCTAATCAGGAACATTTGAATGTCTTTTGAGTAAAACTATACATCTGGTTTAAGAGCAGTTGCAACGCTGTTGTTTGACATTGTGATCTAAGCTCCTGGAGTGGGCGAGCGCCTTAGTTTTGTTTTTAGCAGGTAGAACAGTGTCTGCATAATAGGACAAACCACATGACACTGTCATTACTCAACCATGTCTGACAGAGAAACAGCGCATGGTTCAACCTCAGAGTAAAAAGGTACACGACACAAACCTATTTTGAATGATGAGACAGGTAATCTGCTTTAGAACCATCAGGGTATGTGTACCCATGCTCAGAAACCCTGATCCTAGCTGTAATTTCTAGGCGCAATAGTTCAAAAGTACTCTTCTCCTGTGCTTGTTCTTTCCCACATACTATGTTGCATTCCTTGGTTGTCGGTGATATTCCTGAGAATCTTGTCGTTTGTTTTCAGTGACATCCAACCAGAATCTTTCAATCTGCACTGGTTCTTCAATGACACTTGTGTACCGCCTGGTAACTCCAATATCCCCAACACCAACAATACCTGGCCCAGCAACTGGACAGCATACAGCCTGGATTTCAGTTCGGAAGAAGACAAACGAAGGATCATCCACTTCGCAACCTTCTTAGGCCTACTGCTGGTTGGAATTCTTGAGGTCCTGTTTGGCCTCAGTCAGATAGTCATTGGTTTCCTTGGCTGTCTGTGTGGGGTCTCCAGGCGAAGAAGTCAAATTGTGTAGTTTAATAGTAAGAAGTGGAACAGTTGTTTGAATAATCTGAGAACTATGTTTAAAATACTTTCTTTCAGAAGTTCAATAATGGAACATTGTAAAGTTGTATGGGTTTTTATAGTCCAAACTGTTCTAAAGTCATCTTTGAGGTGATTAAAGAAAACCTTTCACATGTAATGCACGCTGTAAATATGTAATATTTCTACATGGAAACAACAAAAATAACCACCAGTGACTTTGTGGAGAAGTGAAGAGAAATTTTCAACTTGTTTTGTACCTTTCTGTTCTGTGTTGTTTGAACTTAGTAACTATTTACTCTCGCACACACTTAGGGAGTGGGAGAGGATGAGAAGGAACGGAAGTAATCCCATAGTGAAAAGTGGGGGACCTTTTTATTGTCTTCTTTATACCTAAAAAAAAAAAATAACCAAACTGCAGTCAAGTCTTTAGATCTAATTTCCAGCTTGCAGGAGAAAGAAGGAACAGTAAAATAAAAAAGATGAGGCAATAAAGACAACAGCCCTATTTCCAACCAAGAAAACTTAATGGAAAACAGGGTGGGTTGAGGGGGCTGTTCAAGAATGAGAGAACAGATGAATTACATGGACCTTGTCAGGAAAGACTGAGGGAAATGTACAAATGGGTTAAATGATATTAAGGAATTACTAATTTTGGTAGGTCTGATAATGGTTTTATGGTTATACAGGAAAGTGTCATTTCTGTTTTTAAGGAAATGTGTATTTATGTTTGGGGGGAAACATCATATTCCTAAAATACTTAAGCTACAAAAATGAAGTAATGGAAAATATTTAGGTGATAAGCATGCTACATTTTTTTTCGCTAAAGCATTTTTTTAAAAAGACATTTTTCCCAAAAAACATGCATATCATTCCCAGAGAGAATTCCAGTACAGTAAGCACTTAGCCAAGCTACTACCATACCTGTGACGAGGAACAGCTGTTCCTGCACACCCACCACTACAGCTCAAGAGGAGGGATCACCTCCTCAGCCATTGACTTCAGCCCTTTCTTGCTTTGGGCCCTAAGCATGGCCCTCCCCTCCCCAGTCCAGCACCCCTTTCCCACCTCTAACCTGCCTTCTCTCTGAGTCCTCTTCGTCCTTCCTCCTTTGGCACAAACACTGGTTTTTCTGAAAAACCATCTGTAATCACCTAATTAAAAGTAGCTTTCTCCCACATGGCTGTCTGCGGTTTGATTCCCGGACCTGGTAATTTGAAACTCACGTTGAGTGTGTGTGTGCATCCCCAGAAACCCAGGAGGAGAGTGGAGAGGGACTGCAGTGTGCCCATCCCCCGGGGGGTGATCTCTCTCTCTCTGTCTCTTAGGTGACCGCACACACCCTATAGCAGAAATCTCTCCGGAAAAGCTTTACTTTTTTTTTTTTTTTTTTGAGAGGTTTTTGCTATAGGGCACGTGCACTCGCCAGAAAGACAGAGAGAGGCAGCGAGACAGAAAGGGAGAAATCACCCACCAGAGGGGATGGCCATGCCACAATCCCTTCTCCCCCCTTCTCCTCTCGGGATCTTGGGCACACATGCACACGCACCCAGCTTGAATTTAAGCCACCAGGTCTGGGACTCAAACCACAGTCGACCACATGGGAATCCATCAATGTAGTCATTTCGCCAGCTGCTGGTCCCTATTATTTTTTAATTTTCTATAGAGCATGTGTGATCAACA